GAGTTGAGGAGTATGTGTAATATTATACAAACTGAATAGTTCCAAATGAACCAAATGCAAATTAACAATATTTATGTATTTAATTTAGACAATACATGTATACAATAAATTTCATATGCTCTACAAATGTAAATTGTACTCAACATTGTATATTTATATTGATCATCAAGAGTTTTTATCAACATTGGTTTCTGACTGAATAATGTAACAAATTCAAAATATTCTAGACAATGAACAGTATATGCCTCTAAATTACATAAATAACATTACACTATAAGTATATTTAAAATGTAGATATTTGAAATTACCAAATACTTTTTCTTCAAGTTCAAAAGATACATCCGTTCTTGTGCTGTTTCCCACATCTTATCAATGATGTTCTGTTGGCATCATCTCTGATGCTCTTCATGTGCAGCTTTATATTGCATATCCTCTTTCTGCCACCTTTTCGTCACACCATTTGTTTTCTCAATGTTTGATACTGATGTTTGCAATCTGTATATTACAATATATACCAGAAAGGTGAAATAAAATGAATGCAAATATGACATCGTTAAAGTCTTTTTTTCTTAATTTCTTGTTGTCGCCAGTTTTAAAATATTTTATCCATATATTGTGAGCAACACATTTTATATGCTTTAAAGGATAAATAAAATGAGTTCAAGTGTGAATAAGAGAGACAACAATGCCTGACTCTCAACATTTGCCAGAGCTGGCATTCCCAATATTTTTTTTTTTTTAGAAATCCACAATGAATAAAATTACAGTAATTTAAAATAAAGTGAATTAAATTTAATATACAGTATTCCAATTAATATTTTTTTAGTTAGAAAATGCACTGTCAAAGCTACATACCTCCTATACTGCAAAATGGAATCACCATCTCCATTATCGGCAATGCATTCCCTTTAAAGCAAAAAATTACATATTTTACATAGGTGCTTTAAAACAATTTTACAGTCTTGAATAATAAATTGTGTTTTAATATATAAAACAAACTGTATACATTGTTAATGTTAAAAAAATAAGTTGAAAGCCTTTTATATGAAATATAATGTGCACCTTAATGAATCCAATCTTTGCAACTGATCCACATAATTCTCTTCCCAGGTGCCTGAAATAAAACATAAAATATTAAATAAGGTGTGATACAACACATAAAAGTTATTTTAATAATTATTATACAGGTAGTTATATTAGTTGTGTTTTTCCTGGCAAATATGGCTATTTATCTAACTTTTAAAAATGTTAGATAGATAGCCATATTAGGCAGGATAAACACAACTAAAAATAAGTGTAGAGATGGCAGGACATCATTAG